TTCCAACTCACAGGGACCTTTTAGGTCAGAATTGAACTGTTCCTGTGGGTTTCCTGGAGTTTAACTGTTTATGGAGTAGAAAGCCCCATCTTTTCCCGAGGAGTGGGAGGAATGGGTTGTGTGTTGGGCTGCTAACCACAAGGTCAGCAGTTTGAAACTACCAGCTGCTCCAGGAGAGGAAAGTGAGACTTTCTACTTCGATGAAGATTTAGTTTCCAAAACCCACGGGGGCAGTTTTACTCTGTCCTGTTGGGTCTCTGTGAGTCAGAATCGACTGGAAGGCAGTGAGTTGCTTTGAGGTGGGTGGCTTCTAATTGGACAGATGAGGTTGAGGGTAGAGGACCTGCTGGATTAAGGTCCTGAGAGTGGGAGGACCTCAGCCACAGGTCATTGCATTGAGTTTTCAGAGGAGGAAAATATGTGTAGAACACAGAAGATCACAAGTAAGAAACAGAACCTAGTAACTCAGGGCATCTCTGAAGCAAGAATGTGAATGAGAGGAGGGAGTTACACAGTTTGCTGTTACTATCCAAGGCTGCAGACGGGAGGAGGGAGCCTGTAAGGAAAGTCCCCATCCACTAGTTAGTCAACTAAATCTTGGTTACGTATTATCACACTAATATGTAACACATTTATTTCTTCCTTGTTAGTTTTTTTTTTTCTTTTATAAATCCAGCAGGTGGCACTAGCTGCTTTTGAGAAAACCATTTTAGAGCTTTCTGATATGAAAGCTGTGTTTACATATTGCCTTTTCTTTTAATATAGACATTTTCCTACTGTAGGCACTTGTAGCATAGGGTATAGCCTCTCTTATGGTAGTTAGTTCATTTGTACATAGTCTCTGACCGATTTCATGTTAGAGCTGGTCTCTTAACTAGTTTGTTGAGTCACTGCAAGTTTACTTTGTCTTGAAAACTGACTCATATGTTCCCAAACTTATTTGGCTTACCATTCCCTTTCAAGAAAAAAACCATGACTCCACGCACTGCTCTCGTGGCAGTTGAAAACGTTTGCGCCACAGCCCACAATCCAGGATAAAGTGTAGATCCTGCCTCTGCAGCCCCCTGGGTCATTCCAGGGCCCCTGTGGGCAGGATCACCCACTGTGGAAAACACTGCTCCAGCCCATTCTTAGTGTATCCACATTTAAACGTGCAGTAAGAAATAGCTTAGGACCTTATAACAGAACTGTCCTTTATAAAAAGATAAAGAAAATGAAGCCCTGTGTATGTGCGCATGCATGTACATGCCTATACATTTGTGCACACGTAGCTAAAACCCTCAATAGTTGATGAAATAAACACAGCATTTTTACTTATCCATTTCTGTACTAGGATTTTTTGCTGCATCGTCATTTTTTAAATGCAGTATAATGTAGAGTATTTTCTAACTATGACATTTGTTTGGAGATTTTTGTTGACTCGGTTATGGGGTATATGGCAAAAATCACTTATTAGGATTAGTTACAGCATGGTTTCAGAAACAGAAGATAGAAGCAGTAATTGAGAATAAAGGTACTCCGTTTCCTTTCCATTCCTGGCATTGGGACAGCTGGGGGGAAGGAGACTGTCGACCAAAGACTATCGACCGAACCCTTGTTTAAGCCAATGAACAGCAAAAGAAAAGAATTCTGGGTGTTTAGACAGGGGTGAGCGCCAATCTGCCGTGTGGTTCTGCACTGTCATTTAATTTTCCCTGGCTTCCGTTTTCTTGGCTATAAAAATGCGAAAGTTGTCCGTTTCTTATTCCTCTCGGGCTACAGTATAATAATAATACGCTGTTCTTACCCATTGAAAAGTTCCTCTTGTATTTATGATTTAAAGGGTGGACATAACACAGGAGGGTGCTGGCGAGTTATTTGTTCTAGAGTAGTTCTTCCTTTCTCTTGTGATTGAGTGGCTGTGAACAGTGTTGCCTAGAGAGGGGCCAGGCCTGCCTTAGGGGAAACAGAGGTGGGTGTGAAGGGAACTGGCTGGAGGAGAGGCCAGGGCATTTGAGGCTTTGATTAATTATGGAAACGTTTCTGCACAGGAAGTAACTTTTCTCCCTGACTGGAGATTGGACTCCTAGTGCAACGACCTGTTTGGGAAGGAAGGTCAGGAAGCAGCATAGGGCTAGTGTAAAGACGAGGAATTATTGACATGGCACATTTTGAATGGGGTGTGGCCAGCAAGAACTGAATAAATATTTCTAAGATTAATGCTGGTTATCAAACAATCAGAAGGGTTATCGCTGTGATTTAAAGGGGAGAAGCATAAATGCATCCAGAAATCTACCAGGCTGGCGTTTGGCCTGAAGCCAGTTTCTGTAGTTTTGTTCAGAAGGCCCAAGGCATCTGTGTACCTGCTGCCCTCGCTGAGTTGAGTAGTTGTGATAGGTTCTGCATGGCCCTAAACTGGATTAAAACTATTAAACTCTATTAAAACTCTGGCCCTTTACAGAAGAAGGCTCACCGAACCCTGATGTACACAATGGTTACATTTGACCTTGTTGTAAAGTGTGCTTTAACATGGAGCTGTGGGGCACAGTGCTTAAGCACTCAGTTCTTTCTAAATGCAAGTTCAAACTGGTGATCCCAGAAGGTGACAGCCTAGAAATCCCTACTGGACACTCGGTTGCGTGGGATCATTATAACTCAACAGGACTTCAAACTTGTTCTGTCACAACACTCCTTAAATGAATCCATTAGGGTTCTATTAGGACTGCAACTGAGAAATGCCTGAGGGGGGGAACCCAACTTCTGATTCATACTGCCTGCACTTCCAGGGGGGAAAAATCCAAATGTTCTCAGTTACCTCGTCCAGAGCTTAATCCTTCATTTACTCTGTTGCTATATCTGCCTCTGGATATAAATTGCACTCTTGCCTGGAAAAGTAACCAAGGCCTGACTGCAGGGAGGAGGGGCCTCCCAGTGTTCTGGGTGCCCCACTAGTGAGTATGGGATTCTGATGTTGATATCATAGTGATCTATCAAGGCCTATGCCAGTGGTTCTCAACCTTCCTAATGCCACGACCGCCTCATACAGTTCCTCACATTGTGGTGACCCCCCTCTCAACCATAAAATTATTCTCGTTGCAGCCTTCATAACTAATTTTGCTACTGTAACGAATTGGGTGACCCCTGTGAAAGAGTTGTTCGACCCCCAAAGGGATCGTGACTCACAGGTTGAGAACCGCTGGCCTACAACTCCCTGATCCAAATCCCACACCCACAGCTATCAAGTCGATTCTGACTCTTAGCTGCCCTGCAGGACAGGGTAGGACTGGCCCTGTGGGTTTCCGAGAGTGTAACTCCTTCCGGGAGCAGAAGGCCTCCTTGTTCTGTGGAGCGGCTGGGGGGACTCTTCTGATCTCATTTTGCCCTCATGAATAAAATGGCCAATCTCATTCAATAAGCTGTATCATTAACTTGTAAAATATACAAGATGTGATGTTTTCTTACAAGTTTACTCACATAATTTGACACTTAAAGAACTTCTCTGTTATGAAAGGGGAGGCTAGTTAGGAGCACGAGAGAAATATGAGGCCATCGGCTCCTATAAAGATTTACAAAAAACAATCCCACTGCCATCGCGTCCCTGCTAACTCTTAGCTGCTCCCCCGGGGGTTTCTAAGACGGCAACTGCGCAGAAACCTTATATGGTGGGGTTACTAAGAGTCAGAATTGACCCAGTGGCAGTGGGTTTGGGTGAGAAAAAGTTCATACCATGCTTCAAAAGAGTTTGAAATTAGTTAAATATCTTTTTGGGTTTTAATAACCAGAAGTCCCTAGAGACTTTATGCTTATAGATGGTGTTGAAAATCTAGGATTAAAAAACAGAAGTAGAAAATCTAGGATAATTTTTCATTACTATGGAAAAGACATGATAAAAGCCATGCAATTAGACGTTAAGCTATAAAACACGTCAGCTTTAGCACTTTGTTGTTATGACATCTTCACGTTTGTGAAGCCACTGTGTGATTATCGTTTCCAGACCATATTTGAAGATGTGAGTGGTTTTGGTGCCTGGCATCGGCGATGGTGCGTCCTTTCTGGAAACTGTATCTGCTATTGGACATATCCAGATGATGAGAAACGAAAGGTATTGTTGGTAGGGCTGCTTAACTTTCATGTCAATGATCCCTCCACCCCAGCTACATTTTCCTGAGCCTTATTTTTGTGTTATGTGACCAGTTGTGGGGAAGGGGGAGAGGCAAACCATGGAGATACTCCAAATTTGGGTTCCAGATAGTCTGATAACATGTCGCACTAAAACAAGTCATGTGAATATTTTGGTTTCCCAGTGTATTTAAAAGTGAACACTATAGTGCATTTTATTGACTGTGCAATGGCATCAAGAAAATATTTGAAATAATGTAAGACTCACCAAAAGAGGCGCACACAGTGATGGAAAATGGCTTTGATAGACCTGACATGGGCTACCACATGTCTTCAATATGTGAGCAATGCCGGGAAGCTCAATAAAGTGAGGAATGCTTGAATATTTGAATAAAATGTCATGGTTTATCTATTCTCGTAAGTATTCCCTGGTGGCCTAGTGGATTACGCATTGGCTGCTCGGTGAGAGGTCAGCAGTTCGCACCCACCAGCTCATCTGTGGGAGAAGTGTGAGGGAAGCTCTGTGCCTGGAAAGATTGAGAGCCCCAGTCCCCCCCAGGGGCAGTTCTGCTCTGCCCGATGGGATCGCCATGAGTCAGGATGGACTTGGTGGTGTTGAGTCGGTTGGGTTCTGATTCATTCCCTGGTGGAATAATGCTTAAGCACTCGGTTGCTCACCCAAAGTTGAGGGCTTGAACCCATTCAACCACTCCGTCGGAGAAGACCTGGCGACACACTCCTGTAAGGACAAAAGCCTAGGAAACCCTGTGAGGCAGTTTGAACTGCCCGGGGCTGGTTTTATGAGGCCCTGGAGTAGTCCATTCCTTACAATTACCGCATATACTCGTGTATAAGCCGGGCTTTTCAGCACATTTTTAATGCAGTTTTTGTGGTAAAATTAGTTGCTTTGGTTGATATTCACTCAGCTTATACAGTATTTGACCATTGTATAAATATCTTAAGGCTTGTCTTTGTCCTTATTTTCTCGTGGAATGTTCTGTAATGTCCTTATTTTCTCGTGGAATGTTCTGTAATGCTTATGCACTTGTCATTTTAAATTATAAATATGTAGTTCAGTTTTATACTGTATTAGACATTTGACTTATCTAAATCTGGGATAAAACAATAAAGGAATATATTAATAAATTCCATAGGAATACATTGACATTATTTCTGAAATTTGGTAATAGGATTTTGTATAGGTAATAGGAACAATTGTATCTTGTTTTTTAAAGAACTGAATGTTATTGCCTAAGTAAAATTAGTTTGATTAGAAATTTTAAATCCATAGTTTTTTAATCTTAATCTTTGCCATTTTAAATATTGCTTAATGTGTACTGACGTAAATAGTCTTCTTTTCCACTATTAATTTTTTTAATTTAAAGACTCCACTAGGAAGGATAAATTTGGCCAATTGTACCAGTCACCAGATAGAACCAGCCAGCAGAGAATTTTGTGCGAGACGCAACACATTTGAGTTAATTACCGTCCGACCACAAAGAGAAGATGACCGAGAGACCCTCGTCAGCCAGTGCAGAGACACGCTCTGTGTCACCAAGTACGTACGGAGCTGCCGTCTGCTGATGTTTCACAGCACAGTCAGTGATTGCTCACCATGCTGAGAGGTGTCAGCAACTCCCCATGTCTCTGAAGAGGGGACAGTGTTAGTGAGAAAACAAACAGAAGAATATCTATTATAAATAAGTTACTGAAGTTTAAGAAAAACAACAATATCCAGATTTTTTATTAGCTAATCATGTTTTTCAGTATCCTCAGGGGATAGGCATTTTTAAGGCAGTGAGGTAATGACTATAGGTTCCATTGATGATTTATGTGTAGTTGAGAAGAAAAACATTATTCAAGGAGCGGTTGAGGGTGGGTTATGCATTGCGCTGCTAACCACAAGGCCAGTAATGCAAACCTACCAGCTGCTCTCTGGGAGGGGGAAGAGGCTTTCTGCTCCCAGTAAGATGTGCAGCCTGGAGACTCACAGGGGCCATTCTGCTCTCTACGGGAGGCTCAGTGGGAGTTGTTTTTAATTTCTTGAATCTCTCTTCCATTGTTCCAACCACCACCAGCCAGTTGAGGGATCTACAAAAACAATCCATTCTATTCTCCAAATTTCTACTTAGAGATGAAAACTAGATAAGAGAATAAATTCATGGGAATATCACTTCTCTTGTTACACTGAGCTTAAGTATACGAGTATCCGTGATGCAAATGCTTATTGTTAAGAGTATAAAATTAGTTCTGTGTGTCCAGATGAGAAACATGAAGACCAAATCCAGTATACACCATTGTGATTAAGGACAGAGGTTTAAACTTGTTAGTCTTTATTAATTAGGCTGTTTCTGGATATTCTATCCAGGGAGGTGGGTAAAATGGCTTCATCAGTTTTTTTCTGATATGGAACTAAGACACACTTTACTAAAATAGAAAACGTTGCCCAGATACTGCCAATTAGTTATAAAATACGTAGGTTGCATCCAGGGACTCATTCTTTGGAAATTTTTTATGTCTATCTAGACTGTACTTCCAGATTAAATAATTTTAATTCATTCACTTATTTTCTTCTGGGGCCCTTGATGTTGTCGGTGGCTTTAGGACAGTGTAGGAGTGGCAGCATAGAACTAGAGTGAATGTGTTTCTTGTCTGCGCTGCCCCTGGGGACAAGCTGCTGTCCTGGTTGAGTCTCAGCTGTATGTACTAGGTGGCTTAAACTCATTTTGCTTCTTTGACCATGAGAGCACAAACATTCCTCAGGTCGACATTCTCTTTAGCTTATCTATTTCTCCACGGGATATTTTTGACTTATATCTTTATCTATATTGAATGTAGTTCACTTTTATTTCTACCATCCAACTTTGCTATCTTCAACAAACAATATTTCTCTTCTGATCAATACTGCCTACTTCAAAATATTAGGCTATCCATTTGAACTAGACATGGCTCATCTCATGGGGAGACAATGCTTTAGAGTGGGCTTTGCAGTCAACAGACTAATAGGCTTAAATCCAAGCTTGTTGACAAATTGGTAAACTTTTCTAGCCCTCTTAATTCTCCATGTCAAAATGAAAAATACATTCCACAGAGTAATACTAAAGATTAATGAGCTATTAAACACTTAGCACAGTGTCTAGCATAGGGGATAAGCTCAACAAATGCTCCCTATTGTTATTGTGGGTGTTGTATTCTCTTTACCTCCCTGTTTATGTATCGAGTCATAGGAGATGATAAACTCATCTGCCTATTCATGCTTATAGTTTTTCTAGTGGTACCAATGAAAAGAAATTTTAAGTGCAAAATGATACAATATGGACACCTTTTAACAGCTCGTGTTCTCTAGAAGAGTTGTCTGGTCTGCTTCCTTCTCTCCCACCCCACCCCACCTGCCAAATCCACAAGTTATCCAACTTTTAGCTAAATACACATACAAAGAAGCAATTATTTCTGACATCGAGAGGGCTGAAGGAGGTGGGAAGAAAAAAAAAGGGGGGGAAGCAATTTTTAAAAAATGGTATTATCCATAAAGTGGGGTGACACCCATGTACCTGTGATTCCAGCTCCTGGGGACCCTGAGTCTGAAGGATATTTTTAGTTCCCATCTTCGGCCCTGTGGTGGTCTTGCTAGACCCACACCACCAAATGGTGTCACACCTAGGCTAGGTTCCATGTCCAAAATAGACACCATCTTCCATGTGGAAACTCCATCGCTTACCAAATGCAATAAGTCTACGTTATGATTCCGCTGACCAAACAGTGGGGATAACGTTACCTAATTGTACTTGGTGAGCACCTTGCTAGGCAGCTCTTAAACTACAGTATCCATTAAAACATGGAACTAGTTTGTTGGGTGTAATCTTTTGTTTTTTCACCTAGTAGAACATGGAATGGAGGAAAGGATCCTAACTTGTTTTCCCCTCCTTGTAGGAACTGGCTGTCCGCAGACACTAAAGAAGAGCGGGATCTATGGATGCAGAAACTCAATCAAGTGCTTACTGATATTCGCCTCTGGCAGCCCGATGCTTGCTACAAACCGATTGGAAAGCCATAGATTGTGGGCCATGTCCTTCTGCCATACCTTGCAGAAATATATCTTACAAAAACACACTTCAGAGCATCAGCTTTGCTGATTGCACTCTATGCTTTAAATACGGAAGGGTCTGTGCAAAGATTCACTACATGTTATGCAGTATTTATGTCTCTTCCATGTAAACCTTCAACTTTTTCTCTCATATGTAAATGATTGGAAGTGAATTCATGATAGTTGATTTTTCTAAATCTTTATTGAAAAGCTTTACTTTCCTAGAAATTAGCTTGTACATGACGCACACACACACACACACACACACACACACACACACTCCCAAAAAAAGAAAAAAGAAAAAAAACAAGTAATCTTGAGGGAAGTTTTTTTGGTAGGTCCTCAAGGGGAATGATCTTCCAGGGGTTGGAGACAAACTTCAGACTTCTGTGATCTTTTTAGCCTCTGTAGTCTTCTACCCTCCCTCCCTCCAAATGCTATGATCATTGATTGATCATGTTATGTCTTGTTACTAGGGTACAGAACCCAATTTCTAAGGGATTTTTAATGGAGTTAAGAACTTTTTCAAATATCAAACATGTATTAGTTTAAAGCTTGAAGTTGCCCTCAAAACAAAGAGGCATAGGGGATATTATATGAGGTTTGGGGTTACATATTTTATAGAGAAGAGTTAATAATCACATGGTTTACAGTTACTATGTATACAGCATGATACACATTTTTATAGAATTCAGGCTTTAAAAAATAACTTTATGCTATGTAGCTGACAGACTCCTCAGATATACTCGGCAGATTGGATCTTTCTGCTTGTGTAACAAAAATGTAAATCTTTGTATGTTAAAAAAGTAAATGTCTACCAAGCTGCTATGAACTACTAATACTTTGCTTGCCAAAGTGCTTGTGTTTTGTTTTTCATGTTCATGCCCATTTGACATCATTTGAAAAGCAATTAAGTCATACTACCTTTAAAAACTTACTACCTTTCTCTTTATACAAAATATCATTAAGCATGGTCTCAACTTTTGAATACACTTTTCATTTCTTTTGTGACTTGTTAACATTATTGATGACCTCATTTATAAACACTAAATACTGTCAGCTATCACTTTTTTATCTATTCAAATGTGTCTTTATATGTGTTATAAAAATATATTTTACCACCTTTTACCCAAATACCCAAATAAATATTGTAAATGGCGTAAGGAATCAATTATTTAAGAAACTACCTAAGTGTGCAGCGCTGGCAGGCTCTGTATGCGTAGTGCAAGGGTATCTTGGGGGTGTACTTCTGCCGCCTCTCTTTGATGTTTTCTTGGCTAGCTCATTGTATGCTCTGGGGTCACTACTGAACAAGTAGGCAGGTAAAATATCCGATTGTAGGCATTGCAGCAGAGTATGATCACTGGGGTGGGGGGTGGGGGTTTTGAGGAGATTCCAAAGTTTTTAGCTGGAGACTGAGTGGAAAGTGACATCAACCAAAACGGAATGGGTTTGAGAGGACAGGGGTCGTTGTGGTTTCCTAACTAGTGTAAGTTATGTTTAGACTATGTTTCAGCCTACTGAGTGTGCAGCAGTGTTATGAACAAGTTTGAAATATTGTGAGAATAATTGAAATGTGACACAAAGGCTTGAAGTTTTAGGAAAAATGGCACCGATAGGTTTGAACAACATAGGATTGCCACAGCTCCTCGATTTCTAAAAAATGCAGTATCTGTGAAGTGTAATAAAGAAGCCCAATGAAAAAAGGGTGTCTGTATAGTCCTTGGGTGACACAAATGCTCAGCTGCTAAAGGAAATGTTGCAGGTTCAAGTCCACCCAGTGGTGCCTCAGGAATAGCGCTACACTTCTGAAAAATCATCCCCCGCATAACTGGTAGTTGCCATGGACCAGAGTCAGTGCGATGGGACTGGTTGGTTTATGTGTTGAGAGATGTGTTTATTTTTGAAGATGCATTACATACCATGGTATAAAGTGTACACAGTGCAAAGAAGTACACAAAACAAGTCTTCCCTTGACCCCCAGTTACCTGTTTCCTACCCAAGAGGCAGCCACTTTTTATCAGTTCTGATAGATTCTGTGCATAGGCAGACTCAGGCATATTTATATTATTTTGTTCCGACAAGATTATTCCATGCAGAAAAAAATGTAAAAAAAGGAGTGACTGATGATTGTCATCCCGGAAAGAGAAGTGACATCAATGTCCAGCGAGATCAAGAAGGTGCTGCTCACAGGATCATCAGGCGCATTAAAGAGAACGTGAACTGAAAGTTGGGGAGGCCAACCCAGATGACAGAACCAGTCAGGCTACAGCAAAAGCCATGGAGAAAAAGAAATGTCAGATTCAGGGGGGAAAAAAGTTCCTGCCTGATAAAATGTAGACAAAAGACAAAGCATAACCAGAGACTGAGAGAAAGCAGTCACGTTCTATTTAGTGATCAAATTATTCATTATGCCAGAGATAGGAAGCTGTTCCTGGCCATCGTGATGTGGAACATGCAGTGTACCAGGCATGATTCTTGGTATGTTACTTGGATTATCTCATTGAATCTTTTATTTTTTTAAATAAATCACTTTATTGGGGGCTCTTACAGCTCTTATAAGAATCCATACATCAATTGTATCAAGCACATTTATACATATGTTGCCATATCATATTCAAAGCATTTTTTTTCTACTTGAGCCCTTGGTATCAGCTCTTCTTTTTTCCCACCCTTGTGAACCTTTAATAACTTAAAGTATTATTTTTATATCTTACCATCCACTGTCTCCCCTCACCCATGTTTCGGTTGTTGATCTCCCATCCCAGGGGTGGTGGGGTGGTGGTGATTATATGTCAATCATTGCAATTGATTCCCCCTTTCTCCCTTTTTCTCCACCCACCTTCCCTCTACCCTCCTAGTATTGCTACTTCCATTATTGTACCTGAGGGGTTTATCTGTCCTGGATTCCATGTGTTAAGAGCTCTTATCTGTACCAGTGTACATGCTCCACTCCAGCTGGATTTGTAAGGTAAAACTGGGGTCATGGGGTGAGGAAGCATTATAGAACTAGAGGAATATTGTGTGTTTCATTGGTGCTATACTGCACCCTGGTTGACTCGTGCCTTCCTTGCGACCCTTCTGTGAGGGGATGTCCAATTGTTTACAAATGGGCTTTGGGGCTCCACTCCGATCCTCCTTGTTTGCATCAATATGATTTATTTAGGATCTCCTGATGCCTGATAACTGATCCTGTTGACACCTTGTGAACACACAGGTTGGTGTGCTTCTTCATGGTGGACTTTGTTGCTTCCCTGCTAGGTGGCCGCTTGTTTAACTTCAAGCCTTTAAGACCCCAGATGCTACATCTTGTAATAGCCAGGCACCATCAGCTTTCTTCACCACATTTGCTTATGCACCCATTTTGTCTTCAGCAATTGTGTGGGACAGGTGAGCATCACAGAAAGCCAGGTTATTAGAATAAGGAGTTCTTGTGCTGAGTGGAGGCCCAATGTCCATCTGCTACCTTAATACTTAACATATAAATATATGTACATAGGCCTATATACGTATCATTATATATTAATGTGTTTACACATGCCTATATTTATACCTCTGTAAGTGTCTTTTTGCCTCCAAATTCTTTCCTCTATTTCCTTTTCCTTTCCTCCTGTCCCACTATCATGTTTGACTTTAATTCAGCACTCAGTAATTTCTCTTGGCTACATTGCACTTGCTCAAACCCCATCAAGCATTCTATGCCCTCCTGGCCCATCGATTTTAGATCTCTTGTGCCCTTGTCCCTGAGTCTGTTGGCTCCCCCATCCCTTTCCCCCACCTCCTCCTCTCCCATGTCTCCTGGAACTATCGGTCCCATTGTTTTTCCTCGGGATTGTTTATCTTGCCTATCTTATATAGGTAGACATAGAAGAAGAAAAAAGCCTATAAATAGTTCCACGCCTATCTGCATCTCTTAATCTTCACACAACCTTAAGGACTAGACAATGGATGTGGACATGGAAACCAGCAACTTTCTGAAGGCACACACTTAGCAAGGGGCAGATCGGATTAGAATCCAGAACTGCAAGATCCACATACTTTACAATGAGGTTTCTAAAAATAAGGACAAGAAAACAACCTAAAAAATGTGTGGTTGCTTGCGGGGCGTGTGGCGAGGGTGGGGGGGTGGTTAACATTAACAGGAAACTCATGTAAACATCTAATTTGTAAAAATAACTAGTAATGGGGTGGAGGGAGGCCGCTCCTCTCTCTGGGTCAGCTGGGCCGCCAGCCAAGGGGGAGGCCGAGGTGGGTGGCGGCGGCGGCGGCATGGAAGACAAGGGGCCCGGAGAAGTGGCCACCAGCCGAGGGAGGAGACGGTGGTGTGGAGTCCCGAGGTGGAGGTGTGAACAGGCACTTCCACACGATCTGCATGCGAGGCAAGTTGAGCCAGAATGTTGGGCCGCAGGACTCGTCCAAGGTCATTTGGGACCATCTGAGCACCATGTATGACATGCAAGCGCTGGCAAGGTCATTGTCGATGTGTTTGTGTCTCCAGGAAGCCTGGGGAAAGCAACGGACAAGCCCAGCAAAGAAAAGGAGAACTCCGGCTTAGGGTCCAAAAAAGGAGCAACAGGAAGCACAGCCGGGTCACCGACAAGGGTCTGACTGCAAACAGTAACCCCGAGAGACCCTGGGTCTGCAGCAGCAGAGAGGCGGCTGGTGGTGGGCGGGCCAGGCGTTCACTTGGCAGGGTCCACGCATGCCAGCCAGTGCTGGGTCGTGTCCTTGGCCAGTCGGGCAAGTGGACAGCTTGTCTCGGATCTGAGAGCTGAGCGGACTCTCCCACCAGACTTTTCTTCCTTTCACACCCACTGCTGCGGTGCCACCCCAGAGGGCCCAGCGGAGGCACCCTGGGCACCTGGAGAACTGGTGTGGCTGGCAAGCAGTAACAATGACCAGCTCGGTCTCCAGGCTGCCTCCTCGGGAAATGACCGTCGGAGGTGGCGGCCGTGGCCAGTGTCTCCCTCACACCGGAGAACTTTGCCTCCTGTCACTTGTACTGTAGCCTTGTATGTAATCCGGTTGGTGTTTCCACTATTTTCTTTTGTTTTTCTTTCCACTACTTAATTCTTAAGAAGACTATTTTACTATTGTTTTTACAGGGAAAAACAACAAAACTAGAAGTTAAATCTATGTTGTATTTTTCAGAAAATGTTTAGTGAAGGTGATGAGACAAGTACTTTGTCTGATTTTATATGCCACAAACGGGGAATTTGTAGTGGTTATTTTTGTATTACCAGTTAATTTACAAAT